TATGGAATGAAATCAGATAGGGATGAAATTGTTTAGGGATGAACGAGTTTAAAAGTTTTTAAGAGTTTTAGTCAAATGTTTTATAATATAGTATAGATATATTAATAAATTAAATTATTTATTTCTACTAAAATGATAATGGTAATTCCTATTTTGGTATGTTTTGGTACGTGTCATGTTAAGTTTTTTTTTGGATTAAAAGTAATTTCTTTTGGTTTTAGGTTTAAAAACTATGATCATGATGATCTAATTTTTTTGTATTAGATTTTAGGTTTATTGAGAATATATGTAAAATTTAAACATGTGTGGTGTCTCATATATTTGATTTATAATAGCTAACATAAACAAAAATTCCCTATTTCTCTGTCAGGGATTCCCGTTCCCCGTTGGAGACGGGAATGTGATCAAATTCCTCGGCAACGGCAAGGACAGGAATTGGGATTGGGGTCTTTGCCCCATCCCCATCCACGCCCCCCATTCATGCATATTTGGAGGCGTGTTTCGTGTGGGGCCGGTTTGAGGTTGTCAGTAATCAACTTTTTGTCCAAATAATGAAGTTAGCTTATAAATTAATCAAGTTTAGTAAAAGTACCTACGAGTTGGGTTCCAGTGAGAAGAAGAGTTACGTTGAGAAACGTAAGAAGAGATCTCCACCCTTGGATGCACGTTAGGATGAGATGTACCTGATCAATCCTTGTATCAAGCACGATTCATGAATGGTTTTGAGATTATAAGTGATCAAGGGTTCAGATATGTCGTACGCTTCTCACTTAACTTTCATTCTCACACGATCATTCACATGGTTGAAAAATTACTCAATTATTTAGATTCAATACATTTCATTATATTAAAATCAATAGTAACAAAAATAAACAGTTTTTCAATTATTTAAGGTTAATATTTCCGTCGCAAATCCGTCGCAATACTATTCGTCTTTGATTTGTCGTTAAAATCCATCTTTGATTCGTCGCTAATAGCATTACCTACGAACTTTTAACTGACAGACGATCAGTGACGGATCAGCAATGGATTATACTTTTAGGACGGATCAACGGAATTTTCCGTCACTAATACTCCTCTTGTAGTGATTAATCGATGATCTTGCATAACTATTGTAAATAAAAACAATCTTGTTGATGGCAAAAAATTTGAAGTTAATTAATAATTTTAAAAATATTAATTTATTTAATAAATAATTCTTTAAAAAATTTATATTTATGTATTTTTATAAACCATTTATCAAAATTTTATTATTTATAAAACAAAATAAATACTTCATTCGTCTCAAATTAAATGTCTACATTTTGATTTTAGTTTGTCCCAAAATAAATGTCCATTTTCAGATATAAATATTTTACTTTCCCATTTTACCCTTAACTATAAGATGGGAAAAAAATATACTCTTTCTATTACCAAAGGTAAAATTGTCTTTTAGTAATTTAAAAAGTGTAATAATTACATATTTTTAAAATTGTCAGTCATTTTCATCATAGACATTTATTTTGGTACATAAAGAATATAATTAATTTTAACATTTATATCATTCATAAAACGTTTTGAAAATTGTTGTATATGACTTTTAGCTGATTAAATTTATTGACTAAATAAATCATACGACTAATAATTTAAATAACTAATAATAAGTAGGGGTATAATCGGAAGAAAGTAGAAAATTATTGTTGATATTTTTGAGCTTATTGAAACACAATTTCAACTAGCGTTCCCAAAAAAACTAGCATATTATCTATCTTATAATTAAACAAACCGCAAGTATTGAATTACCCAACTCAATACTTGCGGTTTGAAAAATCTTAACCCAAACCAAACTGCAACCCGACCCAACCCAAATCGTACGGGTTGCTCGGGTTTGTTGGGTTGATACTTTGGTACATTAAAATATTCTTCTAACCTTGAATACATTATTTCTCTACTCATAATTTTTTTTCCATCATCAACCATTTGATACGATTACTTATTCATATTTGTTACGTATATCACATTCAATTAATTTTCTCAATTTGCATATATATGTTCACAGTTACTAAACATATATACGAATGAGTTATATATTGATTGAAAATATGTATATATGAAGAGCGTATGTGATAGTGTAATTGTCTAATGTATACATTAATATAAACTCAACAATCATATTAAATAAAATGATATCGGTTTCATCGGGTTGGGTTGAGTTCAAATAATAGCAACCTAATATCAACCCAATACATACTATACACACATCAGTGCTAAAGTCGTACTACAACTTGCAATCTCTCCCAAAACCTAATGTAGGCTCTAAATGAACCAAATATTTAATGAACCGTTCAACGGAAAAAAGTTAGTTTACTTTTGTCTATTTAATCGCGAACAAATATGAACAAGAATTTTTGTTCATTTAGTTAAACAAACGAAATCGAAGAACAGTCTTCTTGGTTCAATACCATGTTCGTATACGGTTGTTCTTTTATGTTCGTTCATTTATACACACACAGTCACACTTAAAACAGAGTATGCTATAAATTTCTTACAGAACACTTGGGACACTTGTATCTTATCAGATGTATTTTTAAAATAATGTCGTATAAAATTTATAGAATGCTTAATTTCATTAAGAACTAGTTAAGACGTCAAAAAATATCCTGTAATTAATTCATTGTAGCACTGTACAGTGAGTCTAGTGATTCGCTTGATGAAAGCAGTAGGGGAACGTCTTCTTAGTCTCACTCCCCCTCCCCTTGATCTATTTACCGGAAGTTGTATCTTATCGAGTGGACTTATTAGCATCACGATTCAAAAAAAGTGTCCAACGCCATACGGAATCATGCGCTGTGTGAAGCGTCGCTCTTAACCGAAACTCGGGTTAAGCTCCGTCTTAAACAAATGATACATAAGTGTTTGGTCTTATAAGTCGAATATGTCATTATAATTGGACGTTTTTCATATATCTCCTACGATACTAATTAAGGCATTAATTTCCATCACAGTCGTCACTTGTGCAGTTCAGGAAAATGAGGCAATATAATTAATGAACCCAAAAAATGAAATTTAGAATCGAAACTTTAGCAACCTTTAATTTGAAACAAAAACCCATAAACCCGAGACCAGAAGGCAACATCAAATCACTAGAAGCGTTTTTCGTATCTTTATTGAGTTAACCGAAC